CCAAATTATCGAAATAATTAATGGTGTTTGTCTACAATAGGTAACGGAATAATACAGAGTAAATGCACTACAACAACCGTTTAAACCGTGGCCGGGTCGTGAGTAGGTAAATATTTTGATGTGGATTCCCTGTGGCAATAAACGGCTGATGGGATGTGTTTCGTCTAATAATACAGCATGCTTTCATATAATTTTGAATTAATTCGGACCGCAATGAGCAACCTGCAATTTCGATGTCGTGTGAGAAAAGTAATAACAATTTATTAAATAAGAATAATAATTTTAATTATAATCAACGGAACACGACAGGATTTCCAAAATCCAAAAAAGTTATACAAATATAATAAAATAACCACACACAATCGTAATTAATTATATTTTAAAATTTTTAACATACAAAAGAAAAAATATCAAAAATATTTTGAAATACTTCTCACCTGATAAAATAGTATTATTTAATACGTCTATAATATCGATATCATTTTAATATTGTACAATACAAACTTTTTAGCTACTTCCTTGGCCACACAGCTTCACTACTTACAACAACGATAATCATTAAAATCGAATAAAATTATGTTTAATAAAAAAAAAAAAAATTAAAGATAATAATAACGCGGTGGTTAGGTGATACACGATGAAAATGTCCGTATAATTTATGCGACATACGGTTGACAGTTTTTTTGGACGTTAAAGTATAATGTTGAAGTCCTTGTGATAATTAAGACAAGAAATTTTAAACAAACATAACCCAAGAGCGATGTATTAGTAACACGAGTAGGGATATGATAAGATAACCTAACGGGTGAGTTCCGGGATGATACCCGATTTGCGTGCGATCTATCTGGCTTGGAAGCTGCAACAACGCGCTGTTCGAAGAATCTTGCCCTTGTTTTGAGTGTGATCCGCAGGATGAAATACGCGAGACGAGTGTGGTGACGTAATGTATCGTTTAGCTTTTTTTCCCTTCCGAATCCTCAAGTCAAACGTTTGTCCGGAGTAATGTTTATAAATATGTTATACCCGACCCTGCACCGGCAAAGACGTGTTATTTAGTGTTAGCTACCGTGCGGTGTTCTTTTAACGTGAAAAATTGGCTTGCGCTGACTATTATCACTGTTGATTTGTGTCCCCCATTACTTTTCGCCAGTTTATTTATACGGTATACGGTAGGTTACTAAATTCGGATCAGACACGCCGTCGCGTCACACCATGCTTAACCGGTACGCCGTGTTTGATGTACGACGTACATTGTATGTGCATTTATACTGATACTGCGAGAGACTGGGTATTTATCCGACTGATGTTTGGTAGACTTAACACCCTCCTTTTGGACCGTACCAATTTTTTGGGGTTGCAATTAAATACAACAGGAATAATATAACTTATTTTATCTATCGCTTAAGAGATTTCGATAAAAGTTTTTAGTAGACTATCATATAACAATACGACCTAAATAAAGTGCACGCGCAATCAGTGCATTGTAAAAACGACTAAACGATATGGTCCAAGACTCAACTAATTTAAAATCCATCCATCTAAGAATAATCAATCGAACCGTATCAATCGCATATAGTTGACGTTAGTATGTAAAAGTTTTGCTGCAAAAGTGCACATTAACATTATGAAGTAAAAAAATATATTATATTCTATAGTATAATATGGTACGTGAATTATCTTATTCGCATAGATCTGAGGTCTATATTATTTACACGTTGTACAAATAACGTGGGTATGAGGTAATTGTTTTCGGTCATAAATTATGAACAAAAAAGCGTGGTCCTTGACAAGTATACTGATTACATTTTTTTTGAATGAATTACTTTATTATAAATTATTGATTATCACACATTTGAACCATAAAATATTGTAAATAATTTAAATACGTTATCTTATACAATGCTCGTCGTACAAATATATTATAGTTAAGTGAATGAATAACGCAAAAACTCAGCGATTAAATTAAAAATATTATAATAGTTTAATCGAATTTTTAAGTGCATAAATAATTGATATCGAACGTCATTCAATTAGAATATTCAAAATCGTGAAAACACTTAAATGTTGTTCGAAGACGTTGACAGAGTATGAAAAATATATTTCAACACATTTCGTCCATAAGCCATACTACTTATTGTATCGGTTTCGGTAGATTAATTCGATTCATGCGATTTTCATTTATTTTTTTTCCTAACTCTTATAATTCTAACTCAAACAGTATTATTCGTCGGATAACGGTATTTGGTTACAATTTTTTTGAGAAACAAACAATTCGATTCTGTCTAATTAAAGGGTGTATACATTTGCTGTGGACTTGGGGAAACGATGGGAACGGATGCGTGTAGGCGACCGCAGTGGCGGGAGATCCTCTGCTTAGCGCCACGGACGGGTTCGACGCAACCACGGACTATTAGCGACTAATTAAAATAGCTGCGACACAGTAATTAGTCGGCTGTAACATCAAAACGCTTCGTGATCACCAGACTTCCGGTTTTGTCTCCCGATCTCTTAACTCAAACTAGGGCGAAATGTGTTTAATTAATTACTCCTCGAACGTGTTTCTTTAATGCACCGTTCACGCGAATTTACGTAATTATATCCGATAAGTGTAAGAGCCCATAAAACCATACGACGTATAATAATTTTACGCATGCGTACCAGTGGCACAACTAGGGGGTGCAAGAAGATCTTTAGCATCGCCAAGTTAAAACTTAGCACTCCCTTGTTTTTTTTATATCCAACCAATATTATTTTAGTGAAACACCATGAATTTTATGTTTTTAAATTATGGAATATTTCCTGAAAAAATGTTTAACTATTTGGTTGTAAGTCGTATAATATAATTCATTCCATATTCGGATATTCGAATATTAGGATATTCCAATAATTATCGGACAATAAGGTATGCATTATAGATACTGTAATCAAGGACGGAATTAGGAGGTGGAAAACAGGGATTCATCCCCGGGCCTAAAATTTTTGACGTTAATATGTGTTTTTAAGTTTTGATATTTGTATTAATGTAGGTTTAAGTGTGAGTATTTACAGATTTAGCACCCCACGTTTTAAAGGTCTAGTTGCACCTATGATGCGTACGTGCGCTGATCAACATTAGGTGTTATTGTAACTTTTCTATTTTTCAACATACTTACAAGCATACAATAGGTCTAAGTGCTCAGGCGATAGGTTATTATTAGCCTTAAGTACACCCTGTTCAATTTGCGTGTGCAAGCGTGTGGTGCAGTGTTATTTGTACGTGCGTTGTAAAGTATAATAATAATTATAATACACGATTTGGCACATGTCGTTTTGACCGTTATTCTTTTGTCCCTCGAAACGTAAATCATAAAATAAAAAAATAAAAATTTGTATACTTGCCGACGCTTAAACGTGGAAAGTACAAAGCATATCGCTGTGATAAAACTGCGTGCACCTAGAATTCGATAGGTTTCGTTTCTATTGAATAATTCAGTTTGACGTTGTAACCTGACCAAATCGTTCATGTGATAACAATAATCAGTGGTCATGGTTTGAATGATATTCGTTTCCAATACGATTCAAAACCGAAATTTCCCAATCGATTTACGAATTCCAATCCGTAACTCTTTATCACAATAATCGTGATGGATATTGAAAGCCAGTACGTCAGTGCATGCGTGGTCATACGTGCTTTTAGTATTACGCGTGCATCGAACGGTGGTGGGATATTTTCGTTTAAATTATTGACAGCGCGAATCCGATACAAATAACTTGCGCAGTGCGTTTCGATGATTATTTACGAAGATAAATCAGAAACTAAGATAAAAAAGTTTACAACGAATGAATTTCAATCAAATATTCCCTTGAAGACGGATATAAAACATGCGAGTTGTACCGACTGCGCTGTTTACCGGTTTTCGGTGTGCTATACGCATTATGGATACGAGACGTGCATTCGTTTACATCGTACAAGCATACCGTGTGTTAAAAATGTAACGCACGTTATTGATATATTACTATACTGCCTATATACGATTCGGACGCAGCAAAAGATGATCTTGCGGTCGAAAATGTACATGGGAATCATTACCCAAAAACGTTTACCGCCGCGAAATGTTATTATTCGCCCCGATCGTTTCCACTCGACGACATTGATAGATACTTTTTTATTTATTTATTTACACTATCGGTTCGATTGTACGCAGTAAAATAGTGAGGTGAGAAAATAAATGATTGTTCAAACATCTCGATGGTCGGTATAACTCTTCAATGCTCAAAATGGCATATAATTTCTCGCTTCGACGAACCGTTCGACATTCAACTGTCCATTATGGTAATCAACGGAATCTCGATTGTGCAAGAAGGCACAACAAACCGATCAAATATCTTTAACTGTGTATTAAGCGCGATGGAAAGTAGGCACGGATATTTATAAAAAAAAATGAAACGACGAAATCATCGCACGACTCTTGCGTTAGACGATCCCGTGAAAATTACGGCGGAAAAACATTTTCCGCAGACAACGTGATCGTGTCGTTATCGGGCAAGGCTACCCATAAACGTAGGTAAATGTGTAGCTATATGGTGAACAGGGTGAATGATAATTCCTGCCCGCCTACCGCTGGTTAAGGGACCGGGTGATATATCGTCTGCCGGAGCGTTCCTCGATCCCGCACCGACCACCCGATGATTTCGATCTAAAATTAAATCTATGCGATTCGGGAGCCGGAAAGAAACGTGGTGCACGGTACTATGGTATATTGGATTCGAATCGAAGTTTCCTTTTTTTTTTTATTTCCAAATCGGGGATTCGGCCTTGTGACAATGCGTTGCCTCCGGGGAAAACACGTAAAACTGTCAAGGGACGCGGTACACCGTCGGGTAAGTTTTTCATTTTTTTTTCGCCTCTCGCACGATTCGACGCCAATCGATTTAGGGTCGCGCGACTATTTTTTTCGAACGCGTAAACGCAGCACAATAATAATGCCAACGTCCGACGGACGATCGACATCGAGACGCACCTGAAGGTCAACGTGGTCAGCGGCCGGTACGACTTGTGGCTGTTCGGGTCGGACATTGGGGTGCCCCAGAAGTCATTGACAGCCACGTGCGCCAGCGGACTGGTGCCCAGCACGTCGGCGTTCATGGCCACGGCCGGTATGTCGTCGTGCACAAAGTCACCGTGCAGCCCGTTCCAGTAGCACGCGATCACAGCCGCGGCCACGGATGCGTACACGGCGACCGCGACTTCAGGCCATCCGTGCTTCTGACAGCCACGCCTGCCGCAGCCACCGCTTCCTTGGTACTGGTAGCAATTCAGCTGGTGCTGGTTACCGCAGTTGTTGTGGTAGTGGTGATGGTGATGTGGTGGCCCCCTCATCGTGTGATCGAGACAACCATACCGCACGCGCAAGTGCGTGTTCACCCAAACGGCGGACACAGGCGGATATCGGAACGAGGGAAACGATCAGTTACCGACCGGTGAAGCCGTCGGAGAGAGACGGATCGAGGGATGGATCGGAATAGAGTTATAGAATTGGAGAGAAACGTTTCTCGTGAGACCGAAACTCGTATTTGTTCTTATTATTTTTGTTTTCCCCCGTGACTAAATCACCAGGCGCCTACCCTTCGGACGACGTCACACGTGCGCACCACCAGTGACACGGACGTGACGTACGCGTATAGTTGCTTCTCGATTACGGAAACGAACGACGACGACGACGAGAACCGCGAGTGTACCGATGGCCCCATCGCGAAAACGACTACTGACGAGAGGGACTACGGCACGGCCACTTGGACTGTGACTACGGAGCTCAAGGTCCGAAGGCGCGCGGCGCGGTTGCGCTCGGAAACGAATGCCGCCGCCAGAGGGCGAACCAACACCACCGCCTGGATTCGAACGGCTACGAATTCGACGCGCGACGCCTCAACGAATATGTAACAACAACAATGACGATGTAATAACAACGAATAATATTTAAAATACAGTGTCGTTTTACTCCTCTTTCCCCCGTTGTCAATATTTAGCTATGAATCGTCAATTATTATTTTCAATATTGTTATTTTATCTATAATATCACCAAAATCCACTAACATGTGCCTTACATACCCATAATTTCTCGTGAATCCCCATCGGCGACTCGAAAGAAAATCGTGTCGATATTTATTGATTTAAACAACTAAACATATAGTTTATTTTACATTTTTCTATATATTTATCGCAAGCTGAGTGTCACTAGTGGACGACCTCTTGCTTTTTTTCGTATAGATTATATATTTATCATGAAAAATACAAAATAAATTATATACTTAATTATTTGTATGAAATATAGGTATAGCGATATTACATACTCGTATAATTTGAAGTTAAACCTTGGTTCAAAATAAAATTGGCTTTATGCAGTTTTACTTATCAGGATAAAAGAATCATATTGTTCTTAAAATGTGCATAGAGATAAATATAAAAATGTAAAATAATATTCTACTAGAATAAAAATTGTAATTTTGTATTTATCATTTAGATCGTGCACATATCTACATATATCAGGTGTATATTTCCAGTCAAACTATTTTGTGTTAATTCCACTGAAAAATAAAATATGTAAAATAAGTACTTTTTCATAACGTGGATGACATTCTATTTTGCAGTAATTTAGATTATGGATAAAATTGAAAATATAACGGTACAAAAAAAAAAAAAACGAACCTTATCGCAATAAATCGAATTCTAACACGATTTCCATTTTCAAAGAATAATTATAGCGTAACCACTTTAACTAATAGTCATTCTAAATTCTAACCATTTTGGCACTGTACAAATATACATATACATATAATACTCGTATAAGTCCAATCTTATATGTGATGATCGAGGGGTTCCGTATCATTAAAGCAAAATTATATTGGATAATATTAGTATCCTTACGTAAATCACGGGCGAGATTAAGGGGGTGGCTAAGGGGGCATTACCCCTCCCCTCCTTGAGACTAAGCTATCTATTTTACAAAGCAAAATATTATTATATATTAATAATTATAATAAAATATCGTCAATGGTCATTGATGAATATGGTACCTATTTCATATATTTTTTTTTTTATAAATAAATAGCTTAATTTTGTTGTTAATAATATGTATTACCTACATTTTAAAATGGTTTCAAATTAAAATTGATACCTATAATGTAACTATTTAAACTTTGTAATTATTGTGAAAAAATGACTTACTTATGAGGGACTCAAAAATATATTCCGTAATTTAAAATTTTATATAGATTTAAAAAACCAACTAACTAAATTCTTAAACCTCCATTAGCCACTCCCTTGGTTAGTGATAAAACCCGCCCCTGACGTAAATAGTGCATATTATATTTTATTTCTTCGCATGATTTTCACATTCAATTTTGGTACATTTTGTTTTATAACAATTAATTTTTCGCGCTTTTAATTTTCTTTTTTTTCATCCTAATATTTCTCCCCAATGTTGACACTTTACTGACCGTAAAAATATTTAATCATAAATAATGGAGAATATAATTTATATGCTTAGTCGTGAGGACGGAGAAAAGAAATTCTATAAAATCTATAAGACTAAAAGCGTAAAATAAATCTAAGGGTAAGGATACGATAGAGGAAAACAGTTTGAATAGAACTATAAATACCAAGAAATCTCTACGTGTGACCAAAAATACACCAAGATCTGATGAAATTATTTTGTCAAACCGAAGTGCGAAAATGTGAACAATTTTCACGAAAAAGACTAAAAATATGAATTCAACGGAAAAAGTGGTGTATTCTCGATGATTGGATGAAAAAAAAAAAAACGAGAGAAAATCAAATCGATTTCTCGAATGGATCCGTCGGACGGGGTTGATAATAGATTTTTTGTTCTAAAACTTTTCGGAACAAACGTGAACGGGAACACTAAACGGCACTGGTACAAGTGACGCGTGTCTCCGTTATGCCGGTGGTGTGGTTACATTGGCGGGTGTGCGGTCTGTTGTCAAACACATTTGCCGGTGTTCATGCGCGTTAACCTGGTACAAATCGACGGGGCTATTATTGCGCGATTAATTATGTAATTAAACGGCGTTTGAATGATTAACACGAGCCAGAGACAAAAGACACGCATTACAACGGTGTGCATTTAAGTCGGACTATTATTACCTGCGCGTGCAACTGTGACGCGAAACGGCCCGCGAAAACGTCGTTTTTGCGTACCGATGCGCAACTAGGGGGCATAAAAAGGTTTTAGCACTCCTGAGTTCAAATGTAGCATTCCAAAATGTTTTATTTATTTATTCATATCTCTAGTAATCTCTAGTAATTATAGTTAAACACTATTTAATTTTATTTTCAGCGATTTCAGTACGCCCCCCCTCCGATATTTGGGCTTTAGTTGTGCCCATGCTGGTGCTGTGAAAACACCTGTGCGAACACTGCGCGCGTTAAATACGTTTCGGTCAGTACAATGTTGTGCGCGAACGAAACCGATAAACCGTATACAACGGAATGGCTGGACCAAAGTTTGCACGTTGTTGAACGCGGACCCTGAACGGACACCGGTAACGCCTTGTTTTCACGTGACGAGTATTCAGCCCTTTGAGACGACTGAACGAAAACGTTTCTGTTTACTCGGCCGAGCCTCTACTGAAATCGACACTGTACTCGTCGCGTGTCCAAACCGATGTAGTGAACTCGTGCGCCGCTCGGCCGGGCCAACAAAACGTGTGCATACGCTAAATCGGTCAGTTTCGGTATTAACCCGAGCAACGGAACGTGTCTTAACAGTCGTCAAAACGTTAAAGCATAAAGACGTAAAGCATTTCAACCATATTTGTGTTACGGCACTGTGCAGTCGTTTCTTTACTGAATCGGTGGTGTTCTCGTTCGATCCAGGAGGTGACGGGCCGGGATAACGTTAAGCACCGATGACGTCGATCGTCCGGTGATACTGCGATCGATCAAGTTTTTACGGTTCTAGAACGACCGTCGTACGGCAGGGCCGGCGCTGCATTTAGTGAGGATCTGAACAAAACTTATTTTACCAATAACTATAGTCACCTCTAGACCTGTTGGCCGTAATTAATTAAGAAAATATGTAATCAGACTCGGGACAGTTGCACGCCATATCAGGTAATAATTAAATTTAAAAAATGCTATAAGATAAACTTTCTAGGTATCCCGGTTTATATACCGTATGGAGAACCATCGTCATTGGTACATTCATAACATATTAAATATAATATAATATTGTTTTATTAATTTGTTTTGTTATATGCTAACGGATTTCTCAAGAAATCGCACTCGCCAGACGATTCACGCGTTTCACATTTTATTTTATGAGATATCTATACAAAATATTTTTCAATTCAAACTTTAAGCGCGAGGTCCTGAACAAATGATCCGTTTTGCCTTCTCCTAACACCGACACTGGTCGTACGGACGGACATAAAGGTGTTCTATGCAAACACCGTAAACAGTTCGCTGAAAAACATGATTGATCTCGACACGCGATCGGTGCCGTTTTAAATATATCCGACAACTCATTATATCGAAATCATATAGAGAAGTACAGTGTACTCTCGATAGCGCATTAGGTCATCGTACTGCAAACATTCATTCGTTCGTAATAAGTTGGTTCGCACTCAAACTACGTATTTACGACGTTTCCCGAGACGATTGTAACAACAAGAACCTAACCTTCGTTTGCTTATGGTGATGAATCCGAAATAGTGAACAGCTATAGACACGTAAAATTCCGGATTTTGCTGGCTCGGTACCACTGTTTGGTGAGCCAAGTCGTTGAGTACGTAATTATTTATACGTGTTACCGTGCGACCACTATACACGACCGCGCGTACTTGGTTTCTGCGGGCGTTTTAATGAAAAATCGGTCTTGTCGATACGTGCTGCGCGTACGGGCAGTAAAGGCAATAGGATGGTGAAAACAGTGATTCTAATTCGTAAGGCTTTACGTTTTGCCTTACATGTTTTTTGTCGTACACTGTCAACGTAATGAATGGGATTATGTTACTGCCGACGTGTTACATGTTAGGTGACTATATGGTATCCGAGTACCGTGGACGTTGACCGACAATTATGTGCAGTGGCCGAATGCTTGTTAATCAAATATTACACAAATAACTATTATTGTATAATTGTAATTAGTAGGTTTTAAATATATAAAAAAAATCTTTTTATACTGTCTGATTGATAGGCCAAGGGCTAACTTTTATCACATTTTGCTAACCTGGCGTTTAAAAATTTATAAAATAAATCAATTTAATATTCATTCGTGTTCGTTTAAATAAATCACCTTTTATAATTTCAGGTACACAATAGTTCTATGATTATCGTTTCTCAACATTTTAACATTTATAATATTTCAAGTCATACATATTTTCCGTGAACTCCAACTCGTTTTAGGAACATTTTTTGAGCTTACAGTTAAAATAGTGCAAATACATCCTAGAAAACATGGCACTGGACATATTTTAGTAGGCACATATGCTTCATATTATTAAAATCCAACTGAAGTTCATGTTACACTTCTTTAACTAATTCGCTTCGGGGGCCCAATATACTCAAAAGTATATCAATATGTACACATTCTAACGAGACACCAATATTCAATGGGATATAAATCTTATACTCCTATATTAAGATAAATTTAATAAAAATATTTTATATTGTTGAAATGCTTTTAGAATATTGACGATAACTGTTTGGCGTATGCAATATGATGTTATAATATAAATGGCAGTGAACAGTAATAATGCGTTTAATTCAATTTCAAATA